CACAAGGTTCTCATGACACATTGTTCTTGAGATATCTAGGTTTTAACACACCAGGTTCTCATGACACACTGTTCTTGAGATATCTAGGTTTTAACACACGAGGTTCTCATGAAACATTGTTCTTGAGATATCTAGATTTTAACACACGTAGTTTTCACTCATGAAACATTGTTCTTGAGATATCTAGATTTTAACACACGTAGTTTTCACTCATGACACATTGTTCTTGAGGTATCTAGATTTTAACAGATGTAGTTCACATGACACATTGTTCTTGGGCTATCTAGGTGAGGTGAAATGGGGTTTAACGTCGCGTCCAAGATTATTGCACTTATATAGCGACGTGCATGCACGTGTGTGTGTTTGTGTGGCTGCTTGTACCAGTCCGGACTGATGTCGATTTATAGTGCTAGCTCACTGAGATACCATACCGCAGTTTAACATGAATACCCCACTCAGACACAGTATACTTACTCCGAGCCGACCAGTCCTTGTTTTAGTCCCCTAATGCCGAAGGCCAGACAGGGTAACAACAAGTACCATCTTTAAACGTCTTTTGGTATGACGCGGCCGTGGATCGAACCCCGGACCTCCCGCTCTCCGGGTAGACGCTCTACCACTAGACCACGGAGGCGGTCGGGATATCTAGATTCCAACACACAGAGTCTCATAAAACACGACTGATAATGTTCCTGGTATGCAGTTATCATGCCTGGTAATACTCCTGGTATGCAGATATCACGACTGGCAGGGTTCCTGGTATGCAGATATCACGACTGGCAGTGTTCCTGGTATGCAGATATGACGACTGGTAATGTTCCTGGTATGCAGATATCACGACTGGCAGGGTTCCTGGTATGCAGATATCACGACTGGCAGTGTTCCTGGTATGCAGATATGACGACTGGTAATGTTCCTTGTATGCAGATATGACGACTGATTGGAAATGTTCCTGGTATGCAGATATGGCGACTGGTAATGTTCCTGGTATGCAGATATGACAGCTGGTAATGTTCCTGGTATGCAGATATCACGACTGGCAGTGTTCCTGGTATGCAGATATCACGACTGGTTGGGAATGTTCCTGGTATGCAAATATCACAACTGGTAATGTTCCTGGTATGCAGATATCATAACTGGTAATGTTCCTGGTATGCAGATATCATGACTGGTAATGTTCCTGGTATGCAGATATGACGACTGGCAATGTTCCTGGTATGCAGATATGACAGCTGGTAATGTTCCTGGTATGCAGATATGACGACTGGCAGTGTTCCTGGTATGCAGATATCATAACTGGTAATGTTACTGGTATGCAGATATCATGACTGGTAATGTTCCCGGTATGCAGATAACACGACTGGTTGGTAATGTTACTGGTATGCAGATATCACAACTAGTAATGTTTCTGGTATGCAGATATCATAACTGGTAATGTTCCTGGTATGCAGATATCATGACTGGTAATGTTCCTGGTATGCAGATATGACGACTGGCAATGTTCCTGGTATGCAGATATCATAACTGGTAATGTTACTGGTATGCAGATATGACGACTGGTAATGTATGTTCCTGGTATGCAGATAACACGACTGGTTGGCAATGTTCCTGGTATGCAGATATCACGACTGGTTATGTTCCTGGTATGCAATTCTGCAGTGGGAAGGGTCTTCTTTAAAATAATAAAACATGTAACCATAATCACGTGTGTACATTTACGGGCATCAACCGCAGTTATTGTTTGTCATTAAAACATTTCTTATGAGAAAAGTTGAACAAGATCATTCCCAGGTAACTCCTTGTCGCACAGTGTAAAGACTGCATACTAACCTAGTCACCTCAGCTGAGAGTATTCTCAAATGTGATAAAACAACACGAAATAGCGGACTCGTCAAAAGAGACAAAGACGTGTCCCGTGTTATAGGAACACATACAACGTACAGAAAGTATCACCCAACCGTTAGCCGCTGGACTGTCGTATGTCCAGATTAGAAAAGGGTATCTTTAGGTAAAGCTATATTATGAGGTGATGTAAATGGGGTTTTAACATCACCTTCATGTTATCGCATTTATTGCATATCGCTTAGAGACGTGCATGCACGTGTGTGTTTAGCTTCTTGTACTAGTCCAGACAGCCGGGTTCACTTAGATACGGTGCCACAGTTTAACACGGATACTGCACTCGGGCACAGTAAACTGTCTCCGAGCCGACCTGTCACAAAACAAGTGCCACCTTTAAACGTCTTTTGGTATGACGCGGCCAGGGGGGCATCAAACCACCGACCTTCCGCTCTCCGGGCAGTCTATCCACTACACCGTGGAGGCGGTATATATTGTGAGTAGATCTATAAACATATACAGGGTATTAACATCGTGTGCCATACAAAGAGCATGCTACGTGAACGTCCACCCAACTACGCCAGTATATAATGTTCACTACTTGTAACAGGGGAATATTACAGTGTGTGTGTGTGTGGAGCCAACTCGGACAGATGTTCCACTACCTGATTACACCTAATGGTACAGCTTAGCATCCACATGGTTCAAAATTAGAGACTTGCTATAAATCCATGTGAAATAATAAATTCACCGGCTGATATTTTTTGTAACAAACTTTAAAACCCAACATCTGCTGAAATGTTGACAAACGTTATAACTTGTTTCTTCTCTCTCGTTAGTCTTTACACACCTCTACCTTTCCCTATGTTGAGATTCGAACCCGAAAAAGCATGACAATTCGGTATTGATTATAAACTCACTACCAATCTGGCCACCGGGGGCTAATGTGTAAAGGGAAAAATTATGATTTGTGGATTTTTAAAAATAAAAATAATCATGTTTTTCTCATGATCTTTGATTTGTAGTTGCGTCAATGTCCCTGAATGTCAAAGGTGCATTATGTTGGGGAACCTCGTGCCTCCCTGTAGGAGTAATTAAGGTCACAGACCCCTGTAAAATGTTACCCCGCATTCACGACCATATATTCCTGAAACAAGGACAACTGTTTTCACAGGCATTGGTTGTTAAGCTGTGTATACTAGTCTATTGAGGAACCTGCAAAGCCTGCCAACGATTTTGAGTGGGGTGGCAGGCTGCGGCATCTGAAACATTCATCATTATTTATGTCTGTTCCTGTCAGCAAAGCAATACAATGGTGCACGCCAGCTGCCTGTCAAGAGTCAATGTGTTTTGTGGTGTTTGTAGTCAGCAGCTCGTGAGTGAACCTTGTTTCACGCAGAGGCCAGCTTGACCACCATGCCTTGTAAATAGTGAGGACCAGACAAACCTGTGACTGAAAACATGAGCAGCCTTGTGACCTGATCGATCTTGACCATCCCAGCACAGAGTCCCCAGCCGCTAGCAGGTAAATGAAACCAGCTTACAAGGACACAGAAGCTGAGGGGAAGGGCTTCTCAGGGTCCGGCTCCAAAATGACAAATATAGCCAGACCATGAATGGTATTCGGAGATCACAAGCATCTGTCATCTCAACAGCTGAGTTAGCCACTTTATCCCTTTTGGATTGCCTGTAGGTCATATAACCAAATATAAGTTTATATTTTCTTTGTATTTTATGAATTAACAAATTGTGCAGAACATTTTGTTGGGAGTAATCCAGTCTGAATGCTAATGCCATAAGGATGTATCTCACCCACAAAAGCCTTATACAAGGAAACTAACTATAACTTAACTATAGTTATAGTTATAGTTATAGTTAGATATTGTGATATTCTCTGGAAACTAGAGGAGTAAAGATTTCATGAAGCTCCGTAAAACAGGGGCAGTAACTCTGTCAAAATTAGTCGAAATGAGACGGGACTGCGATATGCGGATCAACATGTTGACATCTTGTGTGTTGAGTGTCAGGGATATTCTCTAAAAGCTGGAGGAGGACTTGATTTCACAAGCTTAGTACCCTCTCTCACAATTAGGCAAATGAAGCTCCGTAAAACAGGGGCAGTAACTCTGTCCAAATTAGTCGAAATGAGACGGGACTGCGATATGAGTATAATCAATATGTCGACATCTTGTGTGTAGAGTGTCAGGGATATTCTCTGGAAACTGTAGGAGGAGTTGATTTCACAAGCTTAGTACCCTCTCTCACAATTAGGCAAATGAAGCTCCGTAAACAGCGGCAGTAACTCTGTCAAAATTAGTCGAAATGAAACGGGACTGCGATATGCGTATCATCAACATGTTGACATCTTGTGTGTAGAGTTTCAGGGATATTCTCTGGAAACTGTAGGAGTTGATGATTTCACAAGCTTAGTAACCTCTGTGGGACGGACGGACTGCGCCACGACATAATCCCCTTTCGGCCATTCAGGCCCGGCCGGGGATAATTAAGTAGGCAGTAGGAAGATGTTTCTTCTGCAATAGCAACATTACAGCAGACACTGCATATAACAGTTTGACAGTATAAGCCAATTCATGCCATCGAGGTCCTATGACATATAGACACCTCCCGATCTATGACTGCATATGATCCTCCAGTCCCGTAAAGACCGGGTTTAGAATGTCTTCAGCAACCCATGCTTGCCGTAAATGGCAACTATGCTTGTCAGAAGAGGCAACTAGTGGGATCGGTTGGTCACTTAGACCTGGGTTCGATTCCCCACACAGGTACAATGTGTGAAGCCCATTTCTGGTGTCCCCCACTGTGATATTGCTGAAATATTGCAAAAAAGCGGTGTAAAACTATACTTACTCACTCACTCATCCTAAATGTTGCACGATGTTTACTCAATCCTTAGTAATATTATCTCTTTATCCCCACATTATTTTAAATATACAACCAGCATAGTGTGGCATGATCAGTCGGGTCAAAGCTCAAGTTGGTGGTCCTGGATGCTAAACCTTCCAAGCAGTGCTGCCACTGAACGGCCATTGTGACCACCTGATCCACACCCAGCTTGTCTCCTGTGGCAAACATGGGTAACAGGAAAGACACTCAGACAATTGTGACTCCGAGGACATATAAAGAAATAACAAAACACTTGGTGAAACATTCAAATTTGTACTCCACATGAAGTGCTTACAGGAAATGATGTTCTACACTTAAGACACGATACAATGAGACATGGGTATTGTGGAACATTATGTAGAGAGCAACCATTGACAGTTGTAGACGATGTAACACTACAGCATAGACAACACCGTGCCTGACACCAAAACAACAGAATTCCACAGAAGGGTCACAGTTCAGTCACGTGACACTAGGATAAAATAACAAAGCAATGATAGTTTGAAATGACAATGCAATGACATGTCAATCACATGTCTTAACCAGATGCCATGTCGCTCTCCATGTCCTGTCACTTTGACATGTCACTTGGGACATAATGTCACATGACATACCATGACGCCTCCTCATCCCTAAAAACACCTTCTCGGCTCAATCCTAGGTCATGCTTAACATAAACCTATAACACACGATGGTTGTCCATGCTGGTGCTGCACTGTCATCTGATGTACCTGATGATTTCTTCAGATTGTGCTGCGTGGAAAATAGATAGTTATAGAACATATGAACATCTCTTCAAATATATAACTGATATGATCCGTATGTATCTGCGGCGGGAGCACACAAGCCAGTGATGCAACGTAACAAACAGGAGATCATCAGATGCAATGTGTACAGCCAGTCCAATAATGTATGCTGTTTCCAATAGAGTAGCAAGTCAAACAGAAACTGAAAGGTACACCCCTTGACTGTCCATAAAGTGTACAGCCATCCAAACCTTACTGCTATTATTATTTTGAGTCTACATGAGGGCATGGATCTCTGATGAAACCTCGTCGCTATATGGCTGAAATAATGCAGATGCAACGTAAAATTTTAACTCACAATAACAAAACAATTCCAGTATTATTCACCCAGCCAGAGTAGAGGCAGATTCAGCTAATATGCTTAATGCTCATGAAGTTAGTAGATGCACAATTCCCTTATTCAATTGGTTACACTATTTTGATAAAAATTTGAATGATGCTTTAACTTGTTCCTTTCCAACATATAACATTAATGTTATGATGGCCTACAAAACAGCAATATAGATATGTTAGACAGCTTTCCATCTACAATTGTCACATAATAACATAAGAATATTTACACAAATTTCACATCAACTACTTCAATAAGTCTAATAAAACAATAAACAAAGTCATCATCAAAAAGTAATTCATTCAACTGCAACTTTTGATACCAATTTCATAAACAAAACATAATAAGAGTAACCACGTGCAGACTATCAACCTAAGTGTGACCCAGTGATTCCAAACTAGCTTCCATCTCCATCGAAAATAGACAAGCATAGGAGCTGCTGCATCCTCTCTAGTCCTTACATCCGTTACTTCTCCAGGGCGGGCATTTCTGTAAACCTACACTCTCGTGATCTCCAATTACCTGCCCTTCATTTCCATTAGCCAATCTGATTGGCTACGCTCCTTGGTCTATCAGACCAATTAGAAAACAAGTTTCAAACCGGTCTCATTGTAGAGTGGGCGATATCAACAACATGGCAGGTAATTTTAGATCAGGAGAACCTCAGGCATGGATCCTGAGGTTAGTGCAGTGCAGTGCAGTGCAGTGACATGCGAGCCCTGGAGATATAGAGGTGCAGTTTATTGCTATCCTGAAGTGGGAGGAGAGTCCAGCCCCACTGTTTGGCTGGTGGAGGCTACAAGCCTGGAGCGGTACCTTCATTTCAGGCTGTATGTGTCCGTAGCCAAATGCATCAGCTTCATTGTGTTCATGTCAGGAAGCTGTTTGACCTCCTCCTAAGGCATGTACGTGAGGTGTTCCCCTCGTGCGACTCAGACTGAGACAGCTGGGAGACAGTGGGGTCGCACATCACAGATTTACCGCAGTACAGCAAGTCGTTTATGACATCAACTGATACTCTCTTACAATAACAATAATCAGTTTATGTAATTTTCATGCAGGTCTATATCCAATCCAAAAATCTGTAAAGTATTAGTCGAGTCGTCAATGTATCCCTCTAGACCCCTCTACACCTACATCATTCCAAGATAAGCCAGCAGTTAGCAATGATTGTTACCAGGTGGTCCATGGCCCACCCATGTCACACCAACACATCAACCCTCCACCCACGTAACAACACAGTGATATGACTGGACCCCTCACTGTGCTCCTGCAGCGATCTGCCCATGCTTATATTCTTACCTACAATACCATCTCACATATCCTAAACATGTGTTCATGGCATGAAGCAATCATGTTTGGGTCTACTACTAGTAATCTGAAGTAATCACTTTCTAAGTAACTTTTACAAAATACAAAGTTCAAGTCTAGAAACTCTAAAGCACTTCTATGAAGTTTCATAATTCATAACATACAAAAAACCAACACAGACAACTCATCCACCGTATCTAAAATACATAATGTTTTTAACAAATTTACCATACAAAATAAATCTGTAACAAAAAACGTTGCTCCAAAACATTGCTACTGGTAAAACCTGCAGTGGACACAAGACTACATACAGCGGAGGAAGAATTGAGCCTCGGTAACAATGGAAACATATCTGGCCATGCATAGAATCATAGATCTAAGTGATCATAACAATACAAAATGGCCATCTGCATATCAGTATAGCTGTCCTACATCGACAGCTAGAAAGTGTCTTTGAGGAGGGATTGACAAGTTTGTATTCACATTTCAGTTTCAGAATATCTAATGACCCTGCCCACAAAATGGGTTTCTTCCTCAAAATATATTTTTCTTCTTCAATTGACTTTTTCCCAACCAAATGTTTATCATTTCATTTATAAAATATTTTTAGGAAAATGTTCAGGAGACATATAAATGTGGTCAGATTTTTTACTGATTCTTTACCATTTTTTTTAACCACTGCAAGGTCCAACAACACATACTGTGGTTGCTTGTCTCTGCCAAATCTTAACTTCTAACCTCATTACGTACTTGAAGGTTACGAAAACAGATCTTGTATCATTGCATTAATTTGTTACTAAAACCAGAACAGAACAAAGGATGTTATACAAGTTAACCAACCCAGTGTGGTTTTCCTCACAAACACAATGCAATATGACCTTGACTTACTTACTTCATTGGACAGAAATTCCAATTGCAATAAAATCTACAGCATTAGAATCTGCAAAATCAGTTTGTTGTACACACTACAGGAGTTATTCCCCTTTGTCCTAAACAAATGCAAAGTGCCTCAACGAAGAAAAGGACAGTTCAACAGTTGCCTTCAGCAACAATTCACATGAAAAACAAGTAACATGAGTGGCACTGATTGAGAGCCCAGGTGCTTGTGAACACAAATACAATCTGTATGACAAATGATTCTAAGGTCAAATCATCTACAGGCTGCAGAAACAACACTCAAGAAGGAAACATAGCATGAAAATTAATGTGGGCAAAAGGTAACAAAATAGTCATATTTCTATACATATGTTGATTTGAAGTCCAATACATCAGCTTAGTGAAAACAGCAGTTGTCAGCAGGTAGTACATTCTTACAGAGCCCTGGCTAGGGCATATTACCATAACACAACATAGCTTCATCACAATGCCCTTGTTATCAGTGGACAGTGGACAGATCCAAATAGAATCAAGTATTTTTCAAAACTCATTTTCAAAGAAAAAGTCAATTATTTTGATCAACATCTATCATTTAAAAAAGAACTAATTTCTGTCAATGTGATTGTTTACAGTGTGCAATGAAGACATATGCAAACCCTAGGGTTAGCCTCTATGTGTAAATGATTAGGACTGTAACCATGGTTACCAGATATAGGAGTTAAATATCTACACGAAACACACAAAAAATAAAAATGGTGAAATGATAGCATGTTTGATGAGACTTGAAACACAAAACTAATACAGGTATTTACATAGTTGAAAACAGTGCCATTTGACACACCTTAACCGGAATTATTTGAGAAATGTCTTGAAAGTAGACAGAGTTAATTCCCCTTGTTTCTATGACCTGTTGAATGTTTACAATTAGGCAGATTAATGTCGATACAAAACCATAAAAATGAAATATGTCGTTTTGCAAACTACTTTTCTCTATACAGCAATACTACTCAGACATTGCTGCTTCAAGAAACAAGTTCTGTACAGATATAATAGAACTTTCATATGCTATGAAATCAAAGGGAGATAACCCTACTTTCCCAACATAACCATTGATCGTGAACAACAAAATGCACAGTTGAAATGTAACATGTCTTAAGCAATCAGTTGTCATGCTTCTGCTTACAAAAGTGGAACCAGTGACCGCATGTCACAGCACTGAAACACAAAATACAGCCTTTGAGAGTTTGTGAACTATGAACAGCTGTTATATCATTTCCTTCAGACTATTACTTGGTAAGAAACTAATTACCTTTTCTTTAACAATTTGGTAACTGTGAACATGACAAATAGCACTCATTCCTTGTTTACATTTCAAATGCTTGGTCGAAGTGGTCTTGTCTCTCTGCTGGCCCTGAACAAGCTCATGGAGAACAGGGATAAGACTAGAACAGACATAGATTTCCTGTTTCCTGCATTAAGGGTTTGAGAATGTTTAATGTTCTCATTCGTTTCAAAGTGATTTTATCTAAAACAAATTTAATAATGACAAACAGCTAACAGTACACTTTAGTTTGAGAAGGACTAGGTTAGTGTGCAGTGGTACATAAGATAATAGTAGGACTGATTGAAAGAAGTTACCTGTTTCATATTGAAAACATTGACATATGCTTAAAGTGTGTACTGAAATTAGTGTACTGTGATTAAGTAGTCAAGTGTGGACCAGTGAACTTACTCTGAACACAGCCGCTATCATCCACAGAACATTCAACATCCACAATATAACAAGCATGTCCTTGACCTTCAGCCACAGCAGACTCAAGGTTAACAACATGGCTGACCTTGACCTAGATCAATCCGACCCAAGGTCACGGTTCAATCCTGTGACGGAAAGTCATAACATCACAAATCTATCTCTTTCTACATTCAACTAGAACAGTCTGAGCTTAAAATTAAAATATAGAATAATTTGATCATTGATATATATCGGAGGGAGGGAGGGATGAGTTGTTGTATCATCCTAGAAAACAGGCTGGCATCTGTTCAACAGTTTGTTCAACAGTTACTTAAATACCCTGCTCATAGATCATCTGTGACACAGTACAGCAGCAGGTTGAGTTAATGGTTGTTACTCTGAATTGGTCCAGGGTTTGCTAAAGTAGAGGCCGGAGGGACTTTCAACATCCAGGGAGCAGAGACCACGAGACCTTCGGCAGTCATCTCAACTCTAAGACACTTGTGGGACTAAAGCTTTCTCAGTTGGTTGTTCACTTCTTGCTGTGTGCAGCCAGGAATCTTTCTTTACTATTATTAGACATTAAAGATTTCCTGCCCACTAGGAACAGTTATATATTCATCCCTACCTGGAACAAGAGACCTGGTATAAACTGTGTCAACATGTTCAAGTTCCACATGCTTCAGGAAGAGACTGACCACACTATAGCGTCCAGCAAAACAAGGCTTTGTTAGTTGTCAGTACTACATCATTACAAGGACCTGCACCGTCAAATACACTTTTCTAAAGTCATAAATTTGGGCATAACCTGATCTTCATGACTAAGGTTTCAGAGACTCCTAATTTTACAGAACCTAGGGTCTCTTCCACTCCAAGGGTCTCACTTGAAGTAACATTTGTTGACCATTAAGAGCACTTTCCAGAATGTAACATGGTAGTTTGTCTTCGGCTGTGGACTTTGGTAGTATTCTTGTGGCCCGGGACGATGGCCTTCGGATGAATTGTTGAGGTGATGTGTTCCTTTGGCTGATAACTTGGACACTTTCACACCTGTCTGGCAGACACTCACACAGCTCTTGTTCTCTATTGTATACTAGGAATAGTCTAACAGGTGAATACATTCTGTAGTGTAATACCGTCACGCACTGCTGTAATTGAGGCATACGACTCACGAAAAAACTTTTAACAATGCACATCTAAATAATCTCATCTTTGGTTGTGGAGAAAGGATTTAAGCATGGAACAAAAGAATTCCCCTTGTTTCGGTAGATAAACTGGTTTCAATAAACCCAGTCAATGGAAATATATTAGTTTGGAAGTTCAAGTGAGACAGTGACAACTACCAACAGTGCTATGAGGAATTAACAATACGGACTCACCGAGCTGCCTACAACAGGAATGTACTCACTGTATCTGGAAATATATTGCTGGTTAGCTTCCTGGCAAATGAATACTGTAAATCTGGAAATTCTTGCGCCATGAAATTATTGCTAGTGGCCAACAAAAGCCTTAACTGTGTTTGAAATGTTTTGCGACCCCTGTTGATGAGACCAAAGATCAAATATACGTTTGCACGTGTTATTTTTTACGTGTAGGAAACCGTGTGATGAAAGGGTATCTCAGTGTTTTTATAAACTATAGATGCATGTGTGAGAGTTGACAGGAAGGTTGGACGAGCATGTTCATCTACCAGTAGGCTTGCGTATCTCTGGACTACTCGGTGATATCTGAGCTAATTGAGATGTGGCAGGTTGGAGAACTCTCCTGACTCTTGACACTGGTGACAATGCATAACTAAGGAAAAAGGATGAGGGATTATTTATTTAGTAATGTACTGGCTGGTTGACGATGTAAATGAAATGGGCCTCCATGTTTTTTGTTTAGTTACCCTGCATCATGAAACTATCATGAGTGTGTGTCAGTTTTGAAGTACTTTTCAGATTTACAGTAGCTGCGAAAAAAACTAACCATAATTGTTTTCAGGACAAATGTGTAAAGAAGAGCCGCTTCAAGCATGTAAAACACTGTACTGTTAACAGTAGGGGTAATTTAGTGGCAATTAAACATGAGCATTGTCTGTATCCACCGATGGATTCCTTTATTAAGTATAAGACATGTGAGAAGAAGAACTTTTGGTGAACTCCATTCGCTAAAACATCAGATCTGTGAAATCAAACACACCAACATCCAATAGCTTGCAGAGAAACAATTCTCACTTGTACAAAAACTATTGATGTAGAAATTCAATCAGGACAATTACATTTAAAGACACTAAACTTTTTCAGACAGTGACATTTTCAACACAGCAACAATAGTCATATCTGGGTATTGATAGCAAAATGACAGAGTCAACAAGTGGTGGTGGTACCGCCTAGGATGTAACGACACGAAGGTATCTTTGATATGACACATTGATGTACAAGGGCTTAGCTCTTCTCCAGCTGCCTGCTCAATGCCAAGAGGAATTCATTATGTGACGTGATCACTGTGTATTCAAATTTGTTGTGCAGCGGAGATGAAGTGAACAAGCACCTTGTGCGGCAAAGATGTCGTATCGACCCCAGTGTTGTTACCCCAGAAGACGCAGTAAGATGGCTGTGCTGAAGCCGAGGGTCACCGGTGGCAGAGGGTGTAGTTCCCGCCATGTTGTCACAATGGAAGCAGCAGCAGCAGCAGCACAAACACCCACGATGATGCATACAAGATTGGCTTTGGTTTCTGCTGTAGTTGTCTGTCTCTTCGCCAAACCTACCTTACACATTCTGTCTAGATACACCCCTGACAAGTCACATGATGGCTGCTGGGATGATAATGGGTTAATAATCACCTCAATATGAAATGTAGGACGTGAACTTGTCAGTGGAAAAGAAATACAAGTATGCCTGACAAAAGTGGTTCCATCCCCTCCCACTGCAGCTGGTGTCTGCAGTGGCCTCCCTCGATGTATTTATCCTATATGTATCCTCATTCAAACTGTGCAAGATAGGCGCGATATCCCGCTTCTTGGTACTGCCGTGCAGCCTCTGCTGGGTCCGTTGCCTTGGTGATGCCACGCCCTACAATGATGATGTCCGACTGGCGGTTGGTGATCACCTCTGTGGGGGTGATGTAGTTCTGGCCCAGACTGTCCTGGCCTTCCGTTAACTGCACACCTGCAGAACATCACATTAACATTACATGGTGGCTCTTTAGTTTAACATCACACTCCAAATATTAAGCAACATGATGGCAGCCCGTCAATAGCGATTACTCTTGCACTGTTAGTGTTACTATAATTTCAGTAAATAGGAAATGTTCCATTACCTGGTGTCATGTGTAGAAGGCTTGGGTCGGATGTGAGACGAGACTGACAAATAAACCCAATGACAAAATCACTGTGCTCCTCCGCCATCTTCACAGTCGCTGTAAGCAAAGAAACAACATGAGACATGTACACACCAGAGCATGACACTCAGGTGCATCCTGCATCCTTGAGGTTTACTTCAGTATCTAGGGAACCCTAAATCTTTTACAGTAGGGTAATGACAAGGACCCCGTGACTTACATGCTTAGGTCCCGCACTGCACACAATCCATGGGCGACAATGGACTAACTTGACTCAGTCAAACATGTACAACTGCTTGGCAATGTTACCTGCCCACACTGAACCAACTAGGTGACACATTGTAAGAGTTATCTGCAGCTGGTACCTGAAGAGTAGTCTCCCTTTGCTAGATTTCCAGTTGAGCTCATCTCTGCAACTAAGACACAAGCTCTGTTCTTGCTAAGTCCAGCCTGTAACATCAATTAGTTGGTAAAGTCAGTATGTGAGGACACAGGCATGCAGCTTGTAGACATCTGAGTAATACATTAAAATCTAGGATTCAAACTCATGATGAGTCAGCCCGGGGGGCAGTGTCCTGCTACACTTTTAAAGAAGCACCAGAATGGATTCAAATTCATTGAGTTCTTATAAAATACTTGAAGATGAAACTCTCTAGATGAGTCAGGTTAAAACAGGTTGGAGCAAAGTGATATACCAACTTTGACTTACAACAGTACATGGTTCATACACTGTTAGCCTCACAAATTTCCATGAGTTTTTCTGGGTATTATGCCAGTTTACCATGATACTCCATCAATAAAAATCACAACAATAATCACGAACAAAATCACAAACACAGTGTTAAAATTGGCACTAGTCCTATAGTCCTTACTAAACTAAGGACTAGTAGGAATTGGCCCATTTTAAGTGTTTTGCTATATGTTATCATTATAAGGACTAGTGGACAAAAACTGTTAGTTTCTAACCCTGAAACATCACCAATTAACATCACTTCACTCTGGTCAAGAATGGTCAAAGCATTCATTTGCCTGTCACATGTTTGTATCTCCAGAATAAATTACTTGATTAAACATATCAATGATTTTTCCATGACTTCATAACAATTTTCAATCTTCCAAAGCTATTCAAGGCCAGGGAAACTCAAACTGAGATCTATGCCCATCCAAGACTCCATGACCAGTATGAACCCTGGAGGTAGAATGATGTGTATCCCGATGAACACTGCTTTGTATGCCACTTTAATTTCATGTTTCAAAAGTAAAATCATTTGAAAGACCGTGAAGCTCATCACAAAGAATGCTGCAACAGCTACAACCACAACTTCCAAGACGGATGAAGACATACTGAGGGTGCAACAAGGGAAGTGTTGAGATGCTGACCTGTTTGAGTCCCTGTATGACCCCCTCTCCTGGCACGGAGTGGGCGTTAGTGATGTTGGCCCAGTCGGCAATGCGGTACATGCCTCCGGTGTACTGGCTCAATACTGTGCTGCCAATGTCAGCAAACTTCCTGCAAACACAACAGAAACTGCTGCTCAAGCATACTGGTAACGTAAGACATTAAGAACTACCTGAAAGGAAGGTGTGGAAACATGGGGCAAGTGGAATCATCCGTTGAGTTCAGCATGGGGGGGAGCAATGTCAGTCATGCAACTCAAACATACCTTGCAGGTCCATGACTATCGCAGTCTACTATAATAGTAATATTATCTTGGACTGTCTAAATTTTCATTTCAAAAACTCAAGAATACCACAACTCCTTAGGTGAGGGGAGGTGAAATTGGGTTTAACGTCGCATCCCAAGATTATTGCACTTATATAGCGACATGCATGCAAATGTGTGTGTGTGGCTGATTGTACTAGTCTGGACTGATGCCGATTTATAGTGCTAGCCCACTGAGATACCATGCCGCAGCTGAACATGAATACCCCACTCAGACACAGTATACGGACTCCGAACCAACCAGTCCTTGTTTAAGCCCCTTATGCTGAGCGCCAGATAGGGTAACAACAAGTACCATCTTTAAACATCTTTTGGTATGATGCGGCCAGGGATCGAACCCCTGACTCTCCGCTCTCTGGACTCTACCACAAGACCACCTCTGTGGTCTATAAACTCCTTAGTAAATGAATGGTGCCTTTAGTGATAAGATTAGTGGGAACTTTAACACTGACCAGTGATGGTTGTAGCGCTAAGATGATGGTAACTCCCATATAGTATTACTGACCAATGACAGCAGTAGTGCCAAGATGATGGTAACTCCCATGTATTAACACTGACCCATGTTTGATCCTTACTGTGTCACAATCATCTTCCCGAGGCAAGAAAGTAAACTGACTATAAAAGTCCAGTTTCCACACTTGCCAAACTAGGCTGGAATTCCGGAATGTCATTTTGGCTTGACTAACAAGTCTATACATATTACAATCAAAATCGCGTATTGAACTAGACATTTCTACGTGCAGATTTTGGTCAACTGCAGGATTTGCAACGTATGTGTACAATCAACTGGGCATCGACAGAAATTTCATAAATCTTTTCATGTTCTTAATCCAGGTGCTCGAGTAATTTGAATGCACTTCACAAGGTAAGACCCGTTTTATTACAATATAGATCTTGGTTATCACAATGGCTGTAGATGTTGACTACAGGAAACAGTCCCTACCTGTCCTCAAAGATGAGGAAGTTGTGTTTCTGTGCTAGCTCTGTCAGTCGCTTGGTAAACTCGGGTGTGAAGTCCTCCAGAATGTCTACATGGGTCTTGACAAGGCACACATGCGGCCCCACACGGTTCACCAGCTGGAGACAACAAGCAACATTCTCAACCTTACTCACACAAAAATATCTTGGTTCTCTGACCAGTGGGTGAAGAACAGCTACTGATTGCAAACTGCTGTACAGAACAGATGATGCTAACTTGATCATTCATGAGAATTTGGGTAATGGCCATTGCCAGTTGTGGTAATTTTGAGGCAAGTTATTCAATACTGCCAATACTTCTGCTCATAAAAGATTATGTCACATGTGTGATAGGTCACCCAATTCATAATGTTCATCACATGGTCGTATTATTATTTTACAAATGTCACCTGTCATGTACCTATTCAACATATGTTCACATGTCACCTGTCACATGACCTATTTCAACAAATGTTCACATGTCACCTGTCACATGACCTGTTTCAACAAATGTTCACATGTCACCTGTCATGTGACTACCGTATTTTCTTGAGTATAGTGCGCACTTTTTTTCGAAAAAACACAGGTGTGTAGAAGGGGGTGCGCATTATACACGAATTATGAGTTTGGATGTTTTTTTCCCCCATGGAAAGACATTACCGTGAGCACGAAACACCAGAAATACCATGTCAACAAATCCATACTGAAGTACGCAAAATAATCATGTAATTACACTGTCTGGCTATAAAAAGTGTTCTTTGTATATCTGGACTTATGTTTGTAACTTATTTCATTAATTTTATTCAAAATTCCTTATAATATTGTTTTTATTAATTTCGGCGAAATCGTGTGTGAAGCGATCAGAAGATCGCACAACTCACCGTTATTAACAGCAACCACGGTCAGAATACCGCTATTGACGCCTTGAAACGAACTTTAGTTGACAGAGAATGGATACATATATCATAAATGACATACTTTGACTCGTTAAAAGTCATATTTGTTTTTGTTTGACGATTCTATGTCAACATGAAATTCTCGCGATCACGCGCTCACGTGCGCGTGAGCCTTGACGGTGACTGGTTAGACTGGTTCCATGTAAAAAATAATACCTGGCAAAAGCGATCAGCTGCTTCGCTTAGGGTGCGCATTATACCAGGGTGCGCACTATACTCAAGAAAATACGGTACTTCAACACGTCACTGCCACACTTGACCCCAGGACTCACCTCCAGGACCTCGCCACAGCTGGTGAGGTCGGCAGACACAGCCAGGTTGCTTTTCTTAGCCTCCATGATCTGGAGCAGCTGCTTGCTGATGGGGTTGGTGCACAGCGATGCCCTGTCTGCGTAGTTGTGAACCTGCAATACACATCAGTGTCAGCCACTAGACAGACAACACAGACTGGGGCTGCCTAAACAATACCTCACTGATAGCTTGGAAGAAGACGCTAAAACAGATCATACACAATGCAGCCATAATTAGTGATGTTGCAATTCACTTGTACACCGTCGGACAACTTTGCACGATGACACCCAATACACTTAATTTGGCGTCGATTCACAGTTAATTGTCCATGTTGATCTCACATCGACATGAATAACCAAATACAAACGATGTAAATTCCTCATACTCTTCTTGGTCATCATTCGGATGTGACACCGGCCTGATAACAAGACTGACCAGCTTTTCCTTGCTGCCTGACACAATACAGTATGTAAACTTTGTTTCTTATTTTCTCATATCAAATAATTGACTTGACTCAGTGTCATGTCGATGGGTATTAGTCAGTTGTCCTTCTTTACCATTATGAGCGAGTCTATCAACTCTATTCATCAATCGTGTGACACCTGTATCGTGACATCCCTATCTATAAACAGTCCAGGGCCTCCAACATATTTCACAATGTTTAGTTGAAGAAAGCATCAGTGAGAGTCTTTACAATGTGTGGCCTGGTGTCTGTGAGTCAGAGTACCACTCTGGTGCTCATGCTGTCAACCACTGTCTGCCTGGCTCTGACACTAGCACTTAATTCAGGTCATGGTGATATAGACGTATTATTGAGGAGCATCACAATACAATACCTACTGATCATGCACACACAAACCACATGGCAACTTAACAGACCTGACAAGTTAGAGATTTCTTTCTGAAACTTATACCCCTCATACTGTGAATATTATCAGTAATAGTCCAACAGACTAGTGATGGATTTAAAGGCGTTAATTGCTGCAGTCACCACTATTCCAACTATATGACAGCTGCTTGTAAATAGCCTAGACTAGCCACACCGACAGGATTCGATGACACACAATAAATCTGGTTACAGAGCCTGATAACCTGATTCTATTACATTGGCTACTATAACAATCAATCAAGTGCTGAGGACCTGTTCTACCCAGGGTACCCATGGGCATCTAATCTTCCTCATCCAAACCACAGGCATCAACCTTACTTTTCAATGTCTACAAAATCTCTCTATTGGATTCACGATAGAAAAGCTGTAAACAGACCTTCTTTGCCTTCTTGTGCGAACAGTGTGTGTCGCCAGATCCATTCCTCTTAATGCCACTCATTGCATTGAACTTGTTCTCAGCAATGAATTCTCGGACTCTCTCAATATCAGGCCCCGAGAGTCTCTCCGAGGTCTGCAGCACATCCAACATCTTCGACAACGTGCACACGCTGGAAACACAGACAGCACCGTCTTGGATCTTGAGCCATTTGTATGTATATTTTGACATTATCGGAACTAAATATGACTATTTTCATATCACATCCTGTAATCATTTTTAAATTAACTGCACCTAGGAGGCTAACATCCAAGTACAGACATGTTGGGCATTTCCAAAATGTAAATTTATATAATTGCACATAAAGACTAAGTTGAGCTTTCTACCACAAGGCTGACAAATGTTATCAGACTCCAGACTATCAGTTGAAGTGTAGATTACAAGACCATGCATGTGACAATCAGTGAAGGACTCCTACCTGTGCAGGTGTATTCCCTCGCTCTTCAACATCTGGGCCCCGCCCTGCTCTCTGTCCAGCAACACCACGGCATCACGCACATCAATGTCAGCTGTCTTCAAGGCCTGGAAGCAAGTCATTCTCAGGTCACTATGGTTACACACATTACGACAAGCAGTAGAGCACAGGGCCTATTCTCGTGACTTCAAACAAAATGGAAAAGACAAATTCAAGAAGATACATTCTTCAGTGAGGACACCAGGTCAGAAATTACATATCCTATGAAAACTGGAGGAGTTTCACAGTTTAGAGAACCATGCATGGCTTTTAGTCATTAAGATATTGTTAGGAAATACTGCAACATGTTCAACCAGGAAAGGTACTTCAGCCATATCCTTGAAGAGTTAGAAATTCAAGAACATGGTCACCACCAAAAACATTCTGTCGACTGGAACACATCATAATGTGAGCATGTGGACCGGCAAATAAAGTACCAATACCTTATAAATCTTTGTATTCATATAAGTTATAAGAGAAAATTGTGACTGAACTTCGTGTGAATGACTTGCAGATCTAACTAAGTTACTTCAGAGATGATGTCATTGCATTGAACATGATGTTGAAAAAATCAAAAGTTTAACCAGTTTTTTATTTGTTGAAAGTTGGAACTGACAAAATTTAGGGGGCAGTGGTAATTTTTAGAGTTTCGAAAGCCAGTGGGAACACTGATGATGGCAGAAAGAAAGCCCGAAGTGATGCATGTCTAAGATGTTTACCACTTTTGCAAAATAAATATGTTAAGTAAAATATCACTCATTGTAAAATATAATGTTTTGGATGAAAATGACACCAAACATGCATGACTTTTGAGTCACGTGACCTCCTGCCACGAGTTCCTGACTTGCCCAGTGACATCTGATTGAGAGGTCAAGGTCAGAACATGCAGGGCATTAAATATGTTCTTGTGTTGATTCATCCCAAACCAATTTTACCCTACCTGTGCTGTTTCCAGAACACTGGATCCACTGGTGACAACATCCTCGACAACCAGACAGCGCTCGCCTGGCTCATAATGACCTTCTATCATACGCTTGGTCCCATAATCCTTTGCTTCCTTTCTGCGTATCAGCATGGGCATGTGATGCTTTGTTGCAATACACTGAAAAGATATGCTGGTGTTATGCTTCTTAAACTACGTGGCTCATTCAAGAACAAGAGTAAAAAAGAAGTGTCAGCCAGTCCTGGAAACAGTCAGATAATCCTAGAAACAGTCAGCCAGTCCTAGAAACAGTCAGCCAGTCCTAGAAACAGTCAGCCAGTCCTGGAAACAGTCAGATAATCCTAGAAACAGTCAGCCAGTCCTAGAAACAGTCAGCCAGTCCTAGAAACAGTCAGCCAGTCCTGGAAACAGTAAGCCAGTCCTGGAAACAGTCAGCCAGTCCTAGAAACAGTCAGCCAGTCCTAGAAACAGTCAGCCAGTCCTGGAAACAGTCAGCCAGTCCTAGAAACAGTCAGCCAGTCCTGGAAACAGTCAGCCAGTCCTGGAAACAGTCAGATAATCCTAGAAACAGTCAGCCAGTCCTAGAAACAGTCAGCCAGTCCTAGAAACAGTCAGCCAGTCCTAGAAACAGTCAGCCAGTCCTGGAAACAGTCAGCCAGTCCTGGAAACAGTCAGCCAGTCCTAGAAACAGTCAGCCAGTCCTAGAAACAGTCAGCCAGTCCTGGAAACAGTCAGCCAGTCCTAGAAACAGTCAGCCAGTCCTAGAAACAGTCAGCCAGTCCTGGAAACAGTCAGCCAGTCCTGGAAACAGTCAAATAATCCTAGAAACAGTCAGCCAGTCCTAGAAACAGTCAGCCAGTCCTAGAAACAGTCAGCCAGTCCTGGAAACAGTCAGCCAGTCCTAGAAACAGTCAGCCAGTCCTGGAAACAGTCAAATAATCCTAGAAACAGTCAGCCAGTCCTAGAAACAGTCAGCCAGTCCTAGAAACAGTCAGCCAGTCCTGGAAACAGTCAAATAATCCTAGAAACAGTAAGGTAGTCCTGGAAACAGTAAGGTAGTCCTGGAAACAGTCAGCCAGTCCTGGAAACAGTCAGGTAGTCCTCGAAAGTCAGTGAGCAAGGTTCAGTTTCCCTGTTTCCCTGTTTCCACTGCACAAAACACACAATGTTAGCAGCCATATGAGGACCCTGGCACAGATAGGAGATGCAACTCTGTATATAGCAATTTATAGCATTTTATTTAATTTGGATAACATGAACCATGGCTGGATAATAAGAATTAGGCCTTAAGGCTCAACATTGGTTGATACTCTCCATAACAAAAACACACAAGTCCTCTCTGCACTACAAGACCAGGGCTCCAGATTATTTTTCAGCATCAGGAGTATGTATTCCTTATTATTTTAATATAGGAGTACTGGCAAAACTAAAAAGTACACTTAGAGTACTGAATGGAATTAAATGTATTTAGATTGCTACTCTCGTGTAAATAGGTTAATAATTATTTTTAATCAACAAATAATATGTTTTTCATTGTACATGTACGTCCATTGTTTAATGAGCACCTCCTTTTGGGTTTTCAGTATCTGGGGCGGGGGGGGCGAAATAGAGTATTATGAGCAGAATTGTTTCACATGGTATCCCTTCAGTAAAGTCAGGTAAACAAACAGGTAATAACAAACTTGGTCAATACAAATTTGAAATTTGAGATAAAACACAAGCATAACTAGACATGATGATTAACCGTTTAAAATGTATTGTACTAGGCATTGTTTTTTATGCAGAGATGAAGATTACTGTGTGTATTTTCTCGTAAACTGAGCAGGAAACAGCAATCAGACAATAATTTATGAATTTAATTTTAAGAAATAATTTTAATAATAACCATAAGCATAACTTCCGTACAACTGATCGCTATTGCCGGATACTTTTTAGGTATGGAACAATATAACCAGTTACCACCGAGGCTTCCCTGCTTGACTCGATATTGACATATAACAGTCAAACTACAACAAACATGACTTTTAATCAGTCAAAGTATGGCATTTATGACATATGTATCCATAGTTAAAATTTGTTTAACAAATGTAGTAAATTTTGAACAAAAATAGTAAAATAGTCCAGATATGCAATGAATACTTTTTGAAACCAGACTGTGTAATAATATGATTAATGTACGGACTTCAGTATGGACTTGTTGACATGGTATTTCTGGTGTTACGTTCTCACGGTAAGATCTTTGCGTTGGGGGAAAAACAATCAAAACTCATTATCGTGTGAACAATATGCACCACCTTTACACAGATGTGTTTTTTGGAAAAAAAAGTGTTTACCATACTCAAGAAAATATGCTGCTTGAATTCAGAATTATTTTTTTTGAAAAACGTCTATAAATGAATGTTAGACCGCACATGTACATGATGTATGTTGTGATGCATATTTGATGCGTTTTCAAAATTATCCCCCACCATATCGTGCATTTTCATCTGTACATACAGTGATAAAGCATTTACCCAGAGCCATGCAAGACTTACTGTTGCGAGCGGCAAAGCTGTGTATGGCACTCCGCACAGGGACTTGAAGTTGTTCTGACAGTTCTGACTGGCATCCCACAGGTATTCTGACACTCGTACCTGTAACATAAACAATCATGTCCTAGGGCTTGATATAGCTAAATACAACATGCACCAGTGCAACCTATTGTTGAAAAATGCAACCTTATATTTATGTCTACATGCACCAAGTGCATGTCAAAAATATTCAAATTTGTGTCTAACCTAACATGTCCACACACCATCGATCTTTGAACACATTCAATACAAATTAGCTTACTCGCGCCATTAGTGGCTATTACGGGTTATGTCAGACCAATATCTACAGACCAATCAGATTCCACCTCTCATATCACTTACATTTGCTACAAACAAAATGATGGCACCCAGTCAAGATAATCTGATCAAAATCAAAATCAATACTGTGATAAAACGGGTCTTACTTCGCGAAGTGCATCAAAACATGTGACCACCTTGATTAAAAACATAAAATATTTAGAAAATATCTGTTGAGTGGATGTCAATTTCGTTAAGCAAGTTTGATTGGACAATGCACTGACTTGTTAGTCCAGCCAAAATTTAACTCCTTAATTCCAGTCTAGTTCGGCAAGGGTGGAAACTGGACTTTTATAGTCAGTTAACTCCCTTGCCCCAGGAAGATGGACCATGTGCACGTTTCAACTTTGATAAATTTATGGCCACAGGGTGCAGCCTGGTTTTGTCTGGTGCAACTAGGTTTTACATGTAAACATGCACTTGGTGCAAGTTAAATCAAGTTCCTGAAATTAAGCCCTGAAGTCTAGATAACATGCTACTCATCACAGAACACAGACAACATTCTGCAGGAAGACTAAGAGATAATTGTCTACTCATTTGAGTGAGTGAGTGAGTCGGGTATAACGCTCCTTTTAACAGTATTCCAGTCATGTCACAGCGTGTCAGCTTGATCTGGGAGGAAAGGCTGAACCCAGTGTTCATGGTGGTAAAGTTTGCTTATGTGCGGGGGGAAATGTCATAGTTTTAATATTCAGTCCATATTTTATCATCATTTAGACAAATGCTGAGCATGCTGAGGAAAACAAATGATTGTATCTGTTCCATGTGTACATAGTCAGTGATTTTCCTCCACACAAATAGCACAGGACATTTTCATACATTTTTATTTTTTGATAGGATGTTCTTCTATATTATTACCAAATTCTAAAATAATCTTTAAGATATTTCGGATAACAATCATTCAAGAATTAGTCACTGTAAAAAAATGCAACCATTCTGAATGCCCCGGATTGCCCCTGAATGATGAACTAGTGTGGTAGGGGTCTAATCTGACAACCACATATAACACAGCTACCTGTCAGGAATTGCCATGTGTATACTCACTCCACAAACTCACTCACTCACCTGTCAGGAAAACATATATTAAAGTGAGTACATATTCACGGCCATATCATCATCATTCTAATGGCTAAAACTTTCTTTGGTCAGATATGAAAAAGAAATTAGTTCCCATAGAAACCAAAACCTGCACATTAAGAAATATTTCCCTAATATGACGAGATCCAATTACTTTCTGGCCTTGAAAAGGTTAAAAAAAGAAAGAAAGAGAATATTTACGCTTGCACTTATAAGTTGCTTAGAAAACTCTAGTGCCATTGTTAATTGTACATTTTCATGCCATGTAAAGAGATTTTTGTAACTTCCTGTTAATAAACTCACATTTTAACCATACAAACAAACCCAGAACCATTCTTATACACAAAACAGTGAATACTTTTAACAAAATAACAAATTACTATTAAAACATGAAAAATTTCATCAGAAAAATATCTCAGAAATCTAGACACATGATATGATCTGTTTGAAAACTGATTTTCTAGCAATCATTACAAGTAAGTCATCAGGGAATTACATGTTGAGTGAATTACAAGTGTAATACCACTGAAACTGTTTCTATTGTTAGGGGAATGGTAAAGATTGGCCTCAGTGAGTACAGAGTGCTCTGAAGCATGCGGTTTTGTGTTTAACTTTCTATCAGAATCCCCAAATGACCCAAAAAACCATTCCAACACTTGTAAAGTATTGTTTTAATACTTGCAATATGAGATGTCAACATGTCTGGAATTTGTTTTACTGATAGGTTCTGTTAGCTAAATAAAGTCATCATTCCATCTAGGGAGCACGGGGGGCCCAGTCCTCTAAGGCGCCGCTATTCGCTGTGCAGAGTAGTGTCCCTTGGGCACGCCAGAAACCTATGATTGTGGGTTCGAATCCCATTTGGCCCGATTATGTTTCTAGGTTTGTCAGCACCATACCTGTGCTCGTGGGTTTCACCGAAATGGTAAACATCTGAGACCTGCATCACTTCGGGCTTTCCTCCCACATTAAGCTGACACGCCGTGATATGACTGGAATACTGTTAAAAGCGGCGTTAAACCCAACTCACTCACTCATTCTATCTAGTACATGAAAGAAGAAATATCAGTATCATATACCAAAAGAGCACATCAGTGATGTCATGTCATGTTGGCATAGTGTGGGAGGAAAGAGCAAGGTGATACTGTTCTATCAAAGAAGTCTTATATAACTCCTGAGCATGGTATGGAGCCAACAAACCAGTTCTAACCATGCTCATAACCAGGGAAAATCTGGGATTTGAACCCACTATTAAAGTAAATCCTGGTATTGGTAAACGACGCAACTCTGCACAGAGAATTGTGGCATCTTAGACCACTGGCCACCCTGCACCTGGTTGTAAGATTAACTTTTAAAGTGGCCTGTTTCTACAGAGTACAGAATTGCAAAATCAAGGGTAATGAATGTTCTGCTCTCGTTTCTGGCCCTAGGAGACAAAATATGTGCTCATACAGGGATGATCTGTTCAAGTTCGCAGTTCTGGAAGCAGACCCTTCCCATCCAAGACTAGGTGAATAATCACATAAAACACCAGTCTACCATTTCAGCTACTAGTCTTGAGCATGAGTCTAGTAAGATTATGTTTGGGCTAGTATTCAATGGTATTAAAAACATCAGCTCATCAAATACCAAAACACTAAACTAAAGTATCCTTAGAGCCAAGTTTGGGCAGGTAGACTGAAATGTTTTCGGCACCGACTGGAACACTATCAGCATGATCATATAACACTCAGACATAAACTGGGCATGGCAAGTAGAGGAAATGGGCACATGGCACATGATGGTAAATCTGCTGATGTTACTTTCACATTATTTGTTCTCTGATCATACCAACACAGATACTAAATAAATACATTTCACCTTTAAAGTGCAAGTATGAAAATAGTAACACATTTTTCTTACATCCTTTTGTAGCCAGTATGATGTACAATATGATGGCCGAGGAGAAAAGTGTGAAAACGTTAAGTTAGCGCTGTTGTCCTTCTTTAAGAGTACATAGTTTGTGGTCTATTTGTCACAACCAAAACAAATCTTAAAAGCGCTAACAGGAGGCGTGGCTTCATTAGCACGACCGGCTAGGCCTGCAAGCTGATTGGATATTACCACCAGCCGAGTACAGGATATATGCGATTGTTTCATTAGTTGTGGGGAGAACTGTGTTGTACATATAATACCAGTATGGATTCCATGTATGTCAAGAGCTTTATAAAGTTCCACCCACACCCTCAATCTGTGCCATTATAAAGATAGACATCGATTGATCTTTGTAGCCAATTAGTGATAATGAACCAGAATGGTATTTTTCTCACCTAATGTAACATGGCAGCAAGTGACACGGATTCCCAGAGTTTATGACATGTCACTTCATCTTTGTAGTGCTATTTCATGACTACAACGGGATATTGTCATTTGGAGAAAATATACTAAACAAACGAACTAATCTGTGTTTTGCAATCACTTGTAATCCATGTGTCCAAGATGGGGAGCATCCTGTTTATTTTCGTCACTATTGTCGGTCACAGGTTGGGGTTCACTTGTACCGAAATCACCAATTCATCTTCAAAGAAACTTTTCACAGAATATCGCAAAAAGGAACAAAGGAAGTTCAAGGTAAACACAAAAAAGTCTCATAACAAAATAAATTAAAGTACAGAAACGTGAACAATAAATGCCTTTGTTATTTGTTTGTTTGTTGTTTAATGTTGCACTCAGCAATACTCCAGCTATATGACGCGTCTGTGAAATAATCGAGTCTGGACCAGACAATTCAGTGATTGACATCGTGAGCATCGATCCATGTATCAACCAAGTCAGCGAGCCTGATCACCCAATCCTGTTAGTCGCCTTTTACGACAAGCATAGTCGCCAATTATGGTAAGTATGGGTTGCTGAAGACCTTATCTACCCCGGAATATTCACGGGTAAAATGCATTTGTGGAATTAGTATGTTTCGCACATTGTTTTCTCACCAGTAGTGAATAGTGAACTAAATTTGTGATGTAAATGGCCATTGTCACATTTCATTGTTGAAAGAAAAGAGTATATTTTAATCCTTTAAATCCACTCAAATCCACTATCGCACAAAAATGCTACATTACTATGGTCATTGGTATTACTATAGGATGACATTTACATGATATAGTCCCAGAAATAAAGTTATCTTATTCAAAAATATATATCTACAAAATAGAAAATAATAATTCCAAATGGAGCACAGAAAAATCCTTAATATGAGGCCAAGAGCTGAGGCAATCTAGACTTGCCAAATCTTTTTAAAACTGAGTTGGTTCTTTAAAACTTATGCTCTAGGGTCGAGGAGACATACTAGTATTACTGTTACTTTATCATCTCATCTTCTTGACCAATAAATAGTTTTTTGGAATTTGAGCATTGTTTTAATTGAAAAATGGTTGCTTGGCTAATTTATTCTGATCTTATGATTACCATGATTACTGTTAGATAGAGGTAAGAGGCACTAGCACCTTACCATCTTTAAGGAAATGTAGCATTGAAAGAATAAAGAAGCTTAATTTCATCATAAGTCAGTGATATCTTCACTGATATCTAGTTTCAGCCAAGGAAATAAAAATGAAAAGAATAGAAATGTTTAGCAAACGTAACTAGGAAAACTGAGAGAAATCCTAATCACTTGGGCATACAAAAACAAAACAGTGATACATTCCCACTGAAGTCAAGCCAATGCATGTTCTCAAAAAACAAAATAATCAGACCTAAATATCATCTTTTTTGGACGTCTTTTTCTAATGAGATGTTATTTCAGATAAGTACTTTGTATAAACAAACATCTGAATTGAATTCGGGTAAAAAGCATTGCATAGAAATTTAAGTAATTAAAATGGCTGCAAAAAAAACAAAATAATAAGGAAGTATTCAAAGTATTCACGAAACACAAATCAGAAAAAATCGCTCATCATACGTGTCACTGGTAAAAACGTTATTAGTGACAACAGTATTTGCCTCCGAGGTCCCAACTGTGTTTGTTTGACATGTTTGAGGCTAAAGCAAAATGGAGACTGGCTTTACACAAGTGTTTACACAAGCGATGGCACTGAAAATGAACAAATCGTTTTACAATTTTCTCTGACCGTCACTAACACTTGTCGTAAAATACAAATCACACACAAAAGACTCCGCAAAAAACATAATTCCCTGGTGTTAAAACAGGAAAAAGACATGTTCTAGATGATTGCGCTCAGCATTTGCACCCGGTGCCCCCAGTCTCATTCTGAGAACAACCATTTCGGACTTCTTTGTTTGGTTAGGCTTGAAACAGTGCTTAAACAAATCAGTTGTCAAACAGGAAACTATTAAGCAATGCATTAACAATTGTAGATGTAAGAAAAAGAAATATTATTTGAAAATGCAACTTAATGCACCCCTGCAATGGAAACGAATCGCAAACATTCGATTGACCCGAAGGCGAGACAAGCTCGGATAGGGGTCCAATTCAAAACCTTACCAGGATTTCTGGATAGGACACAATCACCCGCAAATCGATGTAAACGGGAGATTCGATACCGCTCTTCAATTTGAACGTTCCAAATTTTACAGCTTGTACATCGTAAAGGCGTATAATCAAATCTTCGAGGCTCATCCGCATGTTGTTCATGGGCGCAGCCATAGTTGATTTTCTCGCCACCTGCAGGAAATTGCTCTGAGGGGAGACAACTCGGAATATAACCGCTCCCGCAAAGCACTGCGTGACACGAGTTGCTCAGTCAGTCAAGTGCGAACCATGACGATCAGACATCTGCCTTCCAACAACCTTACTCGCACAATAGCGGACCTTTGTAATAGCTCATATGTAGCAAGAAGACAAATAGATGCATAGAGGAGCCTACAATTACAGATAAAAACGCATAAATTAAAGTTTAAACCGCTCCACCGGCCAGAGATAAGGACCGGGCTACCAGAAAAGGACCAATCATATTAAATGATCGTTTATCGTTAGTTTGATGTTTTACATGCAAATTTATCGGTAATGGCTATGTATAAGTTTGTTTTGCAGTGTTATGGATGTCGCGCATCTAGTAATTGCTGAATAATTGCCGTCGAGTCTGTATCATCAGCGGTGCAGTGTATGTTAAATATACTGGTGTCAGCTTAAGTGCGTTGTGTGTCGAGCAGGGTTACCGCGGTGCAGAGAGCAGAGGTTACCATACACTACATGCGCGCGTCTCATCCCCCCACCCCCTCACCCCTCCCACCTCCTCCTTCTTTTCTTAAGGTACATAAAAGGCCATCAACCCTCGAAGGATCAATTTCGGCCCCAGGAAAATATAATCTTCTAACAAAATCAAGCAGTTTATTTGCACGTATAGCGGTGCTCGTTGCACCGGGGCATTGATCACGGCCGTAGAACTTCTATCAGCATTAATAACAGAAACGATGGAGATTAAAGAATCATACCAACAAACGCCCACAGGAGCAACAAACAATAGAACATTTGGATATATTTTAAATGAGTCTGTCATCATGTACTGTCCTTATAATATCCTTTTGTTTCTCTTCACGGTTTCTCGACTACAATGGCGTAGCGCTCCCGTGCACTCCGACAAAAGCCGAGTGCATGCCCTACAAATATTCATAATTGATAAGCTCATTACTATGACGTCATCTTGTCGAGAACTAATTGGACGGCTTATATCATGAAACGTAATAGATATGTCAAATTCGCTTTTAGGATACCATCCGTGATCTAAAAAAAAATAATTTGGAAGAACAATTTCAACTGCAACGAGGCATTTTTTTAAAGTCTACCTCCCTCGACGTAGGAAAAAGTGTTATGAGCGGATGTGAATTTATATATAGATAAATAAACAACCGTCTTTTTGTTGTGTCTGCATTCAACATATTATTATACATAGATCCGAACCATATGTTAGAATTGATATTAAATCTCAACAATAGTGCAAAACGTGCCGTCCGCCAAACAAACACTTGATGTAGACTTCCATGGAATTATTTCTCATACTATGAAGGTTAAAGCGAAGATATTGCAGCGCAAACACCTACTTCAGTGACGTGGAAGTCAACCCACGCATGCTATGCAAGCTGAATCACTAGTGCACATTAACGACTCGGCTCGTGGTTATCAGTACTCATCGATGTGTACACTGTCTGTTTAATCAATACCTGACTGCATGCAATGTGACAACAGGGAGACTTGTATCCATGTCATCACACACACAAACACCAAGTTTAAACTCTATACATATTATTTTCATGCACATATTTCGTTAAACTCCTTCCTTAACCAGACTAGAAAGAAAGACACCCACACACAAAAGGAAAACAAATACACCTTCACAAACAAGGAAAACATATACAGTAAAGTATGGTAATAACGAACACGCTCATAACTAACTGTCGGATATAACGAACGGTTCTTGTGGTCCCGGCCATTTGCTGTATATTATATCATATAAAATTGATGGATATAACGAACACACATGAAAACAAATACACCTACATACAAAATGAAAACAAATACATCTTCACACAAAAGGAAAAACAACAACACCTACATACAAAGCAACACAAACACACCTACATACAAAATGAAACATAACACCAAAACACAAAAGGGAAACAAATACACCTAAACACAAAAGGAAAACGAATACATCTTCACAACAAGTGAAAAGGAATTCACCTACATACAAAATGAAACAAATTCACCTACAAATAAAAGAAAAACAAATACATCTTCACACAAAGTGAATACAAACACACCTACATACAAAATGAAACAAATACACCTAAACACAAAAGGGAAACAAATGCACCTACACACAAAATGAAAACAAATACACCTACACACAAAATGAAAACAAATACACCTACATACAAAATGAAAACAAATACACCTACATACAAAATGAAAACAAATACACCTAAACACAAAATGAAAACAAATACACCTACATACAAAATGAAAACAAATACACCTACATACAAAATGAAAACAAATACACTTACGTACAAAATGAAAACAAATACACCAAAACACAAAAGGGAAACAAATGCACCTACTTACAAAATGAAAACAAATACATCTTCACACAAAATGAAAACAAATATACCTACATACAAAATGAAAACAAATACACCTACACACAAAATGAAAACAAATACACCTACACACAAAATGAAAACAAATACACTTACATACAAAATGAAAACAAATACACCTACACACAAAATGAAAACAAATACACCTAAATGAGTTTAGGATGTAAACGCATGCAAGACGTGTTTAGGAATGTGTTTGAATCCTAAACGGAATACACATGTGGTGTCTTCTATTTAAACACGTTTCGTCTAAACACATGTTTAGAGTTTAAACACATTTAGAATTTAAACATGTTTAAATCTCAACATAATTTCCACAAAGTGCACATCAGTGTGTATTAGCCTAATAATCTAAACACGTTTAGAATTTAGACAATTTTGGATGAAGTGCATACCATTACATGAAGTGCATACCATTAGGCATGAAGTCAAATATGGATAACATGCATAATGCACGGACGTGGTACAATATTAAACTGTACACATAAACCAATCAGGTGGAGTTAACGGTGACTAAGAAAACTGACATTTGTGACGACAACAGTCTCCGTGGCACATGTGGTAGCGTGAAGGAGTACAAATCAAGTGGTTCGTATCCCGCCGATGTTTAAAAAGTGTTGTGTTCACATACCGTATTCGACGTAATAAGGCCCCGCTCTAATAAGCGCCCACGGCGATATTTGCTAATATATTGGCCAATGAACAATCCTAGTTAGCACCCCTTCCGATTGATCGATGTACACAAGACTTATTTATTCGCGTATAATACGCGCTCATGTGTTATATGCACACTTAATTATGGGCAATTAAATTCTGGAAAAATATAGCTGTCGTATATAAACATTTCAGGCTGTCAGCATAAACCACGAAATTTATCTTTTAACTCTTTCCACTAAAATAATATTCTTATAAGAGCCCCCTATTTCTAATTTTGAGAGCGCCCTGGGCGCTTATTACGTCGAATACGGTATGTGTTGTTGCTGTATGGGCAAACGATTCAGGCAACAGAAGCTGACAACAGAAGTATATCTGATTGCTACGATAGACCCTTAACTTTTTAAAGTTACCCCCATACTTCTATATCCCCATGAAATGCTAAAAAGCCCTAAACATGGCGAGATCTAAACACGTAGAAAATATGGAACAAGTAACATATTAAGGTTAACAAATACACTACACAGAAAAGAAAAATCAATACAAATACATATTACAGGAAAACAATGTACGTACACACACAAGGAACAAACCAGGATATCTTTTTATTAAATGAAAAAGGTTAAACGGATATATTGCATTTTATCAGTTTTCAAAGTTTTGTGTGCATGTAATGTGCATGCATGTGAAGAAGCTAAGCCTTGGGCTTTTGAGATGCAGTAGGGAAAAAACGAGGGAGGACAATGGAAGGGCACATTGCTCAGTCTGCCATGATACACCGGAAACTTGTTGCCTGCCCTGAGAACACGCGCATCTGACAAAACAAGCACTCCACACCCTCCTGTTCCGAACTATAATTATGTACTCTCCCTAAATATAATTCATGGCGTAAGTGGAGCGCATTATGCTGCACCAGTTGATGCACGACCGGAATACTGGGACCCCCCACTGTCCTGCCTGGGAGTGGAGACCGTACGCGCACCACCCTGACAGGCAGCGGAACGTTCACGCAGGATCAACTCGTCCCACCCTTCAGGGAGGCAAAGGGTTGACGTCAATATCGTCAGTTGAGGCAATATTGTCTCGCTATATGGGATTGGGGTGGGTGAAGGCGTGCGTTGAGTAATTACATTAACGCATGCAAAATGGAGATGGTTGTTGATTGGCTGAGGAGGGAATTCCATCTCATACGACCACCGATGTCTGACCACTAGACACTCATTCAAATTGTATTCGGAGGGCACGGGTGGCCCCGTCGTCACAGGCGCCGCAATTCGGTGTACAGAGTTGGGTCTCTTAGACACGTCAGAAAGCTATGATTGTGGGTTCGAATCCCGGTTATTTACAGAGCCCCGTCCACAAAACGATCTTAGGAGTATGACTGCCGCCACTCCCATCCTTCAGCATATAGACTAACAGCCTTATATCGCTTTAAAGTTTGTTGATTTGTTTATTTGTTGTTTAACGCCGCACTCAGCAATATTCCAGCTATATGGCGGCGGTCTGTAAATAATCGTGTCTGGACCAGACAATCCAGTGACTGACATCATGAGCATCGATCCACGCAATTGGGATTCGATGATATGCATCAACCAAGTCAGCGAGCCTGACAACCCGATCCTATTAGTTGCCTCTTACGACAAGCATGGGTTGCTGAAGACCTTTTCTACCCGGATCTTCACGGGTCACATCGCTTTGAAGAATGGGACACTAAAAATCAAGGCGTCTACCGACGAAACAAATCTCTATGATCGTGCTTATGTGATAGGTGTGAATATGTGTGGTTACAGGTGTGTGCAAGTTAAGTGAGTCAATTTAGTTCAACACAATTTTGAACAGTATTCCAGTCAGTTTTATGTTAACTGCATGGAGGAAAGCCCGAAGTGATGCAGACAAGTTTGATGGAGAGGTGAAATGAGATTTAACGTCGCCTTGAACATCATTTCACTTACAGAAAGAGAAGAAGAAGAAAAATAGTTTATTTAAGTGTC